GCAGGTATTCTGTCTAAGCCAGACAACAAAAGTCAAACATCTTGATATAAGTTTGCAGTCATCAATGAACAATGTTTCCTAAGTGGGTCCAGCTCCAGTGCCATGATTTCTGGATCAGAGCGCATCGTGTCATCGTCTATAAGCACGCATCTACAAATGAAACACGACATCAATCAGACGACTATTTATAGTGTGGATAAAAGAGAAATCTAACACTAATAATTGTGTTTGTTGCCTGCCAAAACTCCATGTACTTTACATGGATGCCCACAGAGAGAAATAAAGAGAGACGGGGAGGAGGTGGAGACAGTGAAAGAGAAGAGAGGATGGTTGGTTGGAGATGAAGACACAGGAATGGTGGATCCTGCTGCGAGGGGGCACAGGATGACGGTCTCCCACTGGCACACCGCATAGACAGTGGGTAGTCGTACGCAGACTCACACACAGTGGGCAGTGCCACAGTCAGAAAGACGGAAATAGACCGAACTCACACATATCGCCAACTGAGTCTCATAGGCTTCATGGAATATGACTACAAGATGTGAGACAGCGGCCTCTCTGACACACTCGAGCCCGTCTGTGATACGGTCCCACACACTCAGACATGTATGGCACACATACATGACAAAGACGTCCACCGACAGCCCCATCCACCCACAAACACAGACGAACAGACAAACAGCCCCTCTCCAGCATCCATCCATCCATCCACGCACGCACACACACACACATAAACACAAGCAGTCCCCTGATGGAGCTCATAGGTGAGTTGGAGTGTGTAAGTGTGTGAGAACGCTGGGGATGAGGAACATATGCTGCCTAAAGAGCCAGGAGGCAACGTCTACTACATGATCAAGGCTTTCAGAGTTCATTACTGAACTATACAGTGCCACCATAAAAGCATTTGGACACGTACAGCACACTTCAGTAATGTGTAGTCAGGAAAAAGGGCACCTGCCTTTACTGATTTTTTGTGCTTTATGAAAACAAATATGGTGTATAAATGTTAACTTATTTATAGGTAAATATACAGGAATTTTGAAGATATAAACAGAAGGAAGTCATGTGACCTTTTTCTCAGTTGTTTTTTTTTGCATTATATCACACACACAGGGTATATATACATATATTTTACCTTTTACTTGTATTTCACCTCAAGTAAATGTCAATATCATCAATTTCCACTTAACCCTCATTTGAAAATTTTGTTTAGGTGTAAGACTTTTTCAAAATGTTTTTTAAATAAGTCTCTCATTCTCACAGAGGCTGCATTTATTTGATCAAAAATACAGTAAAAAGTAATATTGTGAAATATTATTAGAAGTAATCAGATTACTATTTTATTATATTTCAAAATGTAATTTATTTCTGTGATGGCTAGGGCTGCCCCCTAATAGTTGACTAATCGTTAGTCGACCAGAAGAGTCTTGGTCGACCAAAATTTTATTAGTCGCATAAAATTTTTACAAATTAAAATAAATAATTAAATCCACAGGTGAAGTCACGCAGTTCGTGACGGACAAATCGTTAACGGCTAGTCTATAGTAATACAGTACATCAGGCAGGACATCCAAACGCTCACCTATCATTCATCGACCTCAAATATGGCTTATCAGCTGAAATATGTAAGTATTGGCAACTTTACATGGCTGCTTGATCTAATGTTAACCTAGAGAAATGTGCGTAATTGTGTCTGTGCTGAGTGTAGAACCTGAACAATAGCACGCTCACTGCGTGACAGATGGAGGCGCCGGTGAACTTACTCTTAAAGGGGTGGTTCACTGGTTTTTTTCTAGGTTTGATTGTGTTTATGGGGTGCAGTCTAACATGTGTTAATGCTTAGTTAAAAAAAAAAAAAAAAGTATGATTTTTCACATAATTTACCTGTATTCCACACCTCTCTGTCCCTTCTCTGAGAAACGCGCTGATCATTTCCTGCTTTTATGAAGCACCGCCCTCAGAAATAGGCGATGGGCTCTGATTGGTTAGCTAGTCCAGTGTGTTGTGATTGGCTAAACCGCCTCTAGTTGTGTGTCTAAACGTCTCGCTCCTCACCTCAGCGCATGTGCTCCGGTTGTATTGTAAACAACGGTGTTGTTAATATCGCTTATCAGTTTGAGCCCGATTGAGAAGCAGAGGATATTATTGAAGAGGATCATGCAGAACCTGTGCAATTACGGCTTTTAATTAGGCCTATGTTTTTTGTTTGTTGTTGTCTCATACTTTTAGATATGCTGTTATTTGTAAATGCTACTGCTTATGTTAGCTTTTAATATACGGTTTTATCCTGATTAAAGCTTTAATACAGTACGGCAACTGCAC